TTTGACATCTACTCAATTTCCTTGTTCCGCCGACAATCTATCAACAACTAAATCCGTAGGTACTCAAAGAAAGTTTCGTTTAGGATGTCTCCTTTCCGCATTTGCGTATAGATGTCGGCCTTGTTGATACTATGCTAAACTCCCTTCTACACGGAACTGTATTTGACCCCGTTTTCCTTGTTACAAAGCTGTTTGAAATCAGTGTCTTAATATCAAGCCCGAGACACAAATAATAGTCCTCCTATGATTCTCGTGTTCAGGCCGAATGTGACCTTGGATTCAGTTGAAGCTGCTGGAGGATCAGGTACATTCTCTCAGTCACATAGGAGTGAATAATTGGCGCTGTAGGGTCTTGGATGTTGCACTACATTACTACATAGGAGGCCTTGGCTGAGGGCCCCCATAACCTCTGCATGAGAATGCGCCCCCTTTCCTCACCTCTACTACTCTACTCCTCGCATTGGGTTACCCTACGCCAAATGGAGCTCCTCAACGAAGTCCGAATTATGAACCTGATCGTGAGGGCTACGAAGGCCAGAATCTTAAGGCTCCAAGCGTTTTCCTGAAGAACCCAACACATTGTGGTGGGTGGCGCCGAAGGTGCATCGGAGATAAAGTGGGACCACAGCCTAAAATAAGGGAGGAACGATGTATGACTATTGCTATCTTTGACTGCAATGTCATGTTTATGTGACCACCTGTATGTCCGTCTTATAAGCGTGGGCTGATCCTCGTGCCAAACCGAGGCTTAATCCCCTCTTATCCTCCTAGAATACATTTATTCAGCCCAACTTAATACCCTATTTTTACCCGGTAGAAAGTCTCGAAGCCTTACACTAATGGTAGTGGAAAGCATACATTACCTTTTATCAACTTCTACCATAGTAATCACCATTAGCAACACACCTACGGTACAAAGGTAGGGCATCTGTTTCAAGCGGGAGATTCCATAATCTTTCTCCAACAGAATTGTTAATGTCTGCGCCTAGCTCCAACTTGCTATCGTGTTCTAAAGACAGGCTATTAACAACTGCTACAGATCCTCTTACATATGGGACTGTTTGATTTTGCCTTCCATATCAAGCATCTGTTTAAGACCAGCGTTCTAATGACTCGTTTTTAAAGCAATTGATAGTCAATAGATGTGTGCAGCTCTGATTCCTAATCTCAAACCAAACTTAACGCCAGACCCATTTGGGGCTGTTGTTTAGGTCAAGTGGAATAACTCCGCCACATGGTAGCTGATGGCAGGTGCGGCTGGTCGGTAGGTATACCCATTTAATGGTTGGCGTGACAGATGTACCAGAGGGCTCGTATAGGGCGCTGTTCAAGATAAGGGAAGGACAGTTCAATGCTATGTTTATGTGACCAACTAATGTCTGGCGGCGACTTGATATTCGCCTTGCCGTGTCTGCGTAGGCTAACTTCCGGACCGTCATGCATTCAGCCCAACTTAACGCCTAGCTTTACTGAACAAAATGTCGTACGGCGCCATGGTAAGGGCCATGCCTCTTTCACCGGAATACTAAAATCCAACTTATATCAGCTTCGTTCGAAAATACAATGCTGCAAAAAAGATGCGGTCTCCTAAAATAATAGGTGTAGGATGCAAACATGTTAATGGATAATATATTTCAGGCTTTTCTTATTTCTTATTGATTTTAAAAGCACGGCAAACAATACACCTATATCTAGCAACATTGGGATTGCTTATAGTAGCAAACTATTGTGGTTCCGAATTTTACAGATTTTTTCAACTTTGTGCATTACTGTCAGGGAGGGCAATTATTTGCTCTTGTTCATTTAGTCTGAATGATCATTTATTCCGGGTGGGGCATATTTAAAAATATTGCTAAGGGTGATGATCTGGCATTAGCGACGATTACCAGGTTAACTACGCGTCTTTCAATTCTGCTGCTACTATTTTTTTCAAAGATAGTATCAGAGGTTCCGTCGTTGTATGTGTCCAGTTCGTTTCATGAGTTTTAAGGAAACAATATCCAATTCAGCCAATTTCTCGGAGGTTTGTGTTTCCAATGGTTTTGTGCCTTTTTACTTCTTAACTTGATTATTTACGAGTTTGTCCTACTTAGATGACCGGTGACTTCGACGTTGATCAGAAGTCTCAGTTGTGTAGTGTGGTTGATAGTACAATGGTGAAAGGATCTACGGATGATTCGACTTCGAAGCAGACTTTCAACTTTACCAACTCTTTTCAGACAACAAACGCAAAATCGGCTTGTAGAGGAGATGTGATTGATGATCAGAACACTGAAACCAGCAGCAGCTTTTGCCGACAAGGATTGGGTGATCATTTGGCTTCACAAAATCGGATTTCGTCTAATAACTTGTATTGTAATGATCAAACCTCCAATTCCACTGTGTCTGATGCCATTGAAAGTAATATTGAGTCATTGAAAGCCTTGTCCTTGAAACCTGACAATGGTACTCCTCCTTTCCAGTCGTTAGGTTCTAGTACTGCCAAAACACGGGACATGGCATTTTCTACTGTGTCAGGTGATGGCAACTCATTTCCCTTCGAGCGCAGTCAGTCTGACCAGAAGTTCGACAGCTGCAACTTCCTTGGTGATGCAGCAAATGCAAGTTCTAGTGGTAAAAGTCATTCGACACCTGAATCAAGTTCTGGCATTGAGAGCACATATTCGTCAACCAATCCTCGGAATCAGCTTCTGCAGGAAACTGAGAATCCGCCATCCACGACTGAAAACCATCTTGGTGGGTGTTCTAGTTCTTACTGGAACACTGCCGGAAATGCTCAAGCTGAAGAATTGAATTACTTAACAACAGCGCTGTCCGTAAATTCCTCGCCGCTTTTGACGAATCTTCTTTTTCAGCAACCTGGCAATTCTCCAGTTAGTACCAGTAGTGGGCCACAATCCACTTCGGGAGCTATAGGTTCCAAACGTCCAATAATAGGCGGGCATCAAGGAATGCGCCCTTTGTCTAGACCTCCTGGTTGGAATCCAACGACTACGTCTTTTGACTCTAACTTCGCAGCTTCCTCTGATCAATCTCCCTTCTTTACTCCAACCTCCACTGGCTTGCCTTCTTCCAAAGCGCCGGGATGGATGGGCCATTTTTCACCCCAAAACAGCACCTACCCTTGGTCATCAACAGCTTCTCAACAAAATGCTTTCAAGCCTAATTTTGCGGATCCCGCGTCCGGATTTTCCTCTAGCAATAGTGCAAATGGTTTGAGATTTGCAGTGAATAACAGTTTGTCAAACATGGGATCGAATGGATTTCCAAAGGGTTCTGCTTCCTCGAATCCTGCATCTTTGTATAGCATGTTTTCCAAGCGTCCTTCGCATCGAGTGACGGCCCACTGGCAACAGCAACAACACCAGCAACATGTGCAGCCGACGCCACCATCTCTACTGAACAAGCAACATGGTTCTGATTTTTCGAGTCCTGGGCCTCTATCCATTGGAGGGCAGGATAGTGTTTTAAATCAAAAAATGCCTCATGGCTCATTTGGATCAACTTCCGGTGTGTCTGCCATGGCTAGTGGTATGATGTCCGGCAATATGGATAGTCTAAACGCAGACAGGTATTCGACCTATGGCTTTGACCAGCATTTGATTGAACTTATGAAATCAATGGATTCTTCCGGCAGTTCTCAATCGGGTCTACTTGATGATCTGGCTTTTGGAATGCCCCGAATGGATAATTACCATGGAAATTTGCACCCTTTGCCCGGTATGCCACAGCCGAGACCTGGATTGATGTCAAGTGGATTGCAAAATCAAGGTTTGCATGCTATGGGCAATCCACACTCTAGCCTTTCCGCAATGGCTCCCCGTGAAGAAGGCTACTCTCGCAAAGTTTTTGTCGGTGGTCTTCCTCCGGATATCGATGAAGGTACCATTGTCGTTTCCTTTAAAAGTCCTTATTTGTTGAGAGGTTGATTGTTTTTTTCCATTCCCTTGTAGAAGAAATCACTACAGCTTTTCGCCGTTTTGGGGCATTGATTGTTGATTGGCCACATAAGACAGAAAGCAAAGCTTATTTCCCCCCAAAAGGTGTTTCTCTTGAGATTTATGAATTTTTAAATCGTATTCTCATGCACATACGTATCGAAATCTCATTTTCGATCCCTAAGACATTCTACCATTGGACATGAGGCAAACGTTTACTAACTGTACTAACGAGTTGCCATAAAAGTATTTCGCAACGTATTGGGTACTTATTGGTTTAAGTTGTTTAAAAATAGGTTACTGCTTCCTGTTGTTCCAAGAGGAACAATCAGTACAGAATCTGATTAATGCCTGCATCGTCGATGAAGGGAAATACTACTGGTGCGTATCCTCTCCAACCATGAAGGACAAACCGGTACGTACTGTATTGTGGCTCTCTTCAATCGTTAAGTTCTGGATATGTGTACGTATAACTGCAAATGTTCTGAAGACCTATCTGTAACTGAAATAACTTATTAGGCATGATTGCATCATTTGTGTGCTCACGCGTTCTTCGGGATTGGTAATAAATTAATCGCGAAATAGGTTCAAATTCGCCCTTGGAATTTGGCTGATTCGGACTTTGTCATGGATGGTTCCCAAACGCTGGATCCACGCAAAACCATTTTCGTGGGTGGCGTACCGCGACCTCTTCGTGCAAGTAGGTTATACGACTACTTTTATCTCCTCGTTTTGCCGATCGTATTCCTTACCACACTTTATAAGATCTTGTATTCTGCGCGATGCTCTGTTTTTACGCGTTCCAGGTGTCTATGTTTTCACAAAGTTCTATCGGCTATCATGCTCTGATCGTTATCAAGATCGCATTGGGACGTTTTAAAACACCGTTAGGAGTCGGTTTTAGATTGGAGCTTGCATGATTAGTTGCTCTAGATCATAGTCATTAGT